ATACAGGATGACCAAAAATTGCATATTTAAATTAGATTTTATAAGATAACAGGAAATATAAAAATGGCAATCTTATCAAATTTACTCAGTACAAGAATCAACTGGTTGAAATGACACCTGCCTGAGTGATGCTCAGGATGCTCCATGCGTAAACAAACACACTGCCTGAATGACACTTGAGGTACGCTGTTAAGTGGTCAATGTGGTGACACAATGAACTACTTATGAAATTTTAAACTCAAAATAAAAATTTAGAAAGGCCATTGCTTTATAACCCTTACTGAGGTTTGTATAATGCAGTGTTTCAGCTTCCACTGTGTTGCTCCCAGCCTTCTAAGAACCAGATAAACTTCTTTTCTGAGGCTCACTACTACTCTTCTTTGGGGCAGTATCCTCTCGTGCTCAAAACTTTTTAATGTTCAGTTCATTCTTGCCAATTTTCTCATAAATATAGGTCTTTTGGCCTATGTTTGGGATATCAATTTTTCTTCTCAGAATGTGATTCTAAATGGTTATCAATTTTACAAAACCTTCCAGGTCCACAGCTAACTACTGTTTAAATTACCATTAACAGAATTTTTTCATTTTCTGTTTAGCCCAGTGTAATCAAGATATGCAAGGGAAATGAAGTATGCCAAGTGTTGTCAAAGCATTTTAGGACACTATGGCAGCAGGCTTTCCAGATTTGTATTCTTAGCCAAGGGAGAGCCAGAACAGGTTTTGGATACAAAGAAAAAGTCGTATGCTTGTACTATTGTCACTTTAGAAATCTCTGATGCGAATTCAAATTATATCTGTTACTTAAAGCCAACAATTTTATGGCAGCAGTTTTTGGGGTTTTTTTGGTAATGGGAATCGAACTCAGGGCCTCATGCTTGCCAGGCAGGTGCTGCACCACTCAGCTACATCCCTAGCCCTGGCAGTAGTTGGTTTTTTTTTGGGGTACCCGGGATTGAACTCAGGACCTTACATTTGCGAGGCAGGCAGCTGCGGAACCACTGAGATAAATCCCCAGCCCTCTTTTTGTTATAATTGATAGAAAAGATGCATCTTAGACTTGGAATTGTTACACCTCTAGGCAGTGTGTATAAGGACTTGTCACTAGGTTGGCAACAGAAGGGTGGAAATAAACATACAAGAGGGCCAGGGATTTAGCTCAGTGGCACCGCACCTGCCTCGCAAGCACAAGGTCCTGAGTTCGATCCCTGGTACAAAAAAAAAAAGAGATGTGTGCAAAGTGTTCAGATTTACATTTTAGCGAAAGGAATCAAAGTGTGTCTTCTAGCTACACGTTAATAAGTCAATGGGAATATGCCTTCTTGCTAATATCTTAACAGTAGAGATCTGATAACTATCAGACACATGGCTTGGTGTACTCTGTTGCTTTATGTCTCATTTTAAATTGAGCATTAAGGGAATGCAGTATTGTAATTGTAACTTTGCCAATTCTTCGATCTAGAGGCCTGTTGCCATTTTATCTTCAGTGAAATTTTGTTCCCAAAGGAAGAATTACAATTTTTTAAAACAATAAATTTTATTTTATCCCATTCCCCCTTCCCCTTATGCCCCCTCCTCTCCTTATGTACAAAAGCTCTGTTTCTAGTTTTTCTCTTTTCACTTTTTTTCTTGTCCCTTCCTTCCTTTCTCTCTCCCTTCTCCTTGTTCCCTTTCCCACTTCTCAATATCTATTATACACTGTAGTCCTTATTTCCACTTTTGGTTTCTTACACCGAACAAACAATGAAGGAGGTATTTAAACACGTGTGTCCGATTTATTTCACTTGAAGAGTATGATCTCAAGGTCTATCCATTTAACTATAAATGTCTGAAGCTCATAGGATTACCATTTTTTTCTAACAAATTGAATTGGTGTAGTATGTTCTTAGTTATCAAAAATACTCTTGTAGCTTTGGTATTTTGAACTGGTGAGTATTCATGATGTGTGGAAGGAAAAGCATGACCCACACTATACAAACTCAGTCGCAAAAAATGGCATGCTGTGTACGTACACGAGACCTAGAAGAATACATCCAGCTAAGCTGCTTATGACTGGGAATAACTGTTCTTTGCTTCTTGTGTTTTGTTTCCTGTAATGCACATACTAACTTTAAAAAAAATAAAGACTATTTTTAAAACAAAACAAAAAAATGGTGCTGAGAAAACTGGTTACACTCACGCAGAAGATTGAATCTGGACAGTATCTTATCACCTTACACCAAAATAAAACCAAAATGGATCAAAGACAGAAATATTAAAACAATCTCCTGGAAGATAAAATAGGTAAAACTCTTGAAGATTCAGGAAGGGACTTTCTGAACAGAACCCCAATTGCACAAGTAATAGCAACAAGAATCAACAACCGGGATTATAACAAATCAAAAAGCTTGTGCATTAGCAAAGGAAACAACTAACAGAGTGAAGAAACTACCTATAGGGGAAAAATTTTGCTAGGTTTTCCTCACACAGAGGGCTAATATCTAGAATATACAAAGAGCTGAGGAAATAATCAGATCCCCTCAATAAAAGACCCAATCAAAAAATGGGCAGCCCCAAGTTTGATCCCCGGTACCAAAAAAAAAAAGGGCAGCTGAAATGAATAGACACTTCTCAGAAGAAGTATATTTTTTAGTGGGTTTTTTTTGGGGGGGGGGTACCAGGGATCAAACTTGGGACCTTGCGCTTGCAAGGCAGGTGGCAGAACCACTGAGCTAAATCCCTGGCCTCTCAGAAGAAGTATAAATGGTCAACAAATACATGAAAAAATGCTCATCATCTCTAGCCATCAGAGAAATGCAAAGTAAAACAACACCTGAGATTCCATCTTAATCCAGAAAGAGTGGCTATCATCAAAAACCAAATAATAATAACAAATGCTGGCAAGGCTGCTGGGAAAAGAGCACCCTTTGACATTTTTGATGGGAATCTAAACTAGTACAACCACAGTGGAAACTCCTAAAAAAAAATCTAAAACTAGAAATTCCATTTGACCCAGCTACGCCCTTCCTGGGTATCTTCTCAAAAGAGTTAAAGACAGTATATCACAGTGATACATGCATACCCATGTTTATATCAGCACAACTCATAACAGCTAAATCTTGCAATCAGCCAACAGACGAATGGTACAGAATATGTGCTATTTATACACAATGGAGTACTACTCTGCCACAACAGATAAACTTGAGTCATTTGTAGGAAAGTGGATGCACCTTGAGACCATAAGGATAAGTGAAATAAATGAGCTTAATACACACCTTGAATATCACATGGTTTCTTATATGAGAAATCCAAAATATAAATAATAAAAAAACAGACAACAAGAAACAGGGAGATAGATATTTTGCAGATGGGAAGGGGATGTAGATAATGGAGGGAGCAGTGAGGTGAGGAGGGGAAGGGGGAAAAAGGAATTAAGACTTGTTAAGTACATGTACATACTCCCTATGATAATATGAACATTATGAACTGTAAACATACCAATAAAAGATAAATATACCATTCATTTAAAAAAGTGTATGTCATAATTCCTTAAATAATTAACCAAGTATACCAAGATATATAAATGAAGTCACAATAAATTAAAATGGGAGACTAAAAAATGTTTAAATAACCCAAAAAACAGGAAGAAAGGTTTTCTAAAAAACCGTAAGCCAGGTGTGGCACACACCTGTAATCTCAGTACTCTGGGAGGCTGAGGCAGGAGGACCACAAGTTCAAGCCCAACCTTGGCAACTTAGCAAGATTCTGCCTCAAAAAATAAAAAAATACGAAAGGGCTGGGGATGTTGTTCAGTGTAAAGACCCTAGATTTAATCCCCAGTACCATAAAACAAAAATTACAGATCACTATTTTTCAAAAAACAAAAATCTTTAGCAAAATAGCCAATCAATTCCAGGTATATAAAAAAGGATAATGTACCAAGACCAAGTGAAGTTTATCCTGGGAATGCAAGACTAGTTCAATGTTAAAAAATCAATGCATGTATTCTACCATATTAATAGCCTAAAGAATTTTTTAAAAACTATATAGGGCTGGGGATTTAGCTCAGTGGTTTTGCCACTTGTTGGCACAAGCGCAAAGACCCAAATTTGATCTCCAATACCAAAAAAAAAAACTTCCCCAAAAAACCCTATATAATCAGCTCAACAGATACAGGGAAAAAAAAAATGGCAAAAGTCAGCACTGATTCGTGGTAAAAATCTTTCACCAACTATGAATAAAAAGGAGTTTCCTCAAGATGATAATATCTTCAAAAGGTTTATAGCTATTACCATCCGTAATGATGAAAGGCTGCTTTCCTTGTAGGACCAGTAACAAGGCAAGCATGTCCATTCTCACCCCTCCCATCCAACACAGTCCCGAAAGGCCCAGTTAGTGCAATGAAGCAAAAGCAAAGTAGAAGGCACAGAGATTGGGAAAGAAGAAACAAAACTGTCTCTTCTTGCAGATGACATGGTTGTCTACATAGAAAATTCCAGGGAATCTTCAAAACTCCTAGAAAAAGTAAGCTTAACAAGGTCATATAATACAAGGTTAATGTAAATGACTACCCTGTTCCTCTATACCAGCGACGGCAAACATTTTAGAGCTTTCAAGAAATAGCCCACTGTGGCACACATGCTGTAAGTTTGCCTCTACTGCTATATACTATCAATGTGCAACTGAAAACATAATTATTTGTACAGGATACACTTCAGTGAACTAGCTTTAAGTCAGACTGATTTCCTCAAACTCTGACATACAGCTAGTTAGAGAGTAGGTATTTTTTTCAGGTAATCCACAAACTAGATAATTGTTTCCCGGTAGATAATTGAATAGAAGGTAGATAATTGGCAATTACCTGGTAATCCATAATTGTCAATTACCTAGTTTATAAATTACCTCAAAAAAATTGCTGTCTCCTGACATAAATATAGTTATTATGCCATAAGGAGCCCTTCCAATTTGGAGACAGTGCTAACAGACTGACTTGGACAGAGGGCAGTTCAATCCCCCTTACTTACTGCTTTGCACTTTCCCTGGAATGTCAGGCTCCTCTTCTTCCTCGTGCAGCTCAGCACTTTGTAGGACAGCACGGATCTCTGGGTGCAGGTCATCCACACTTGCTTCCCCTGAGGCCAAGGCTTGGCAGTGCAACACCAAGGTGACATCTCGGTTATAGAGATGAAAATATCGGCACGCTCTACTTGCCTCATGCACATGGCCATCATCCAGCAGACGCTCAATCAGAAAGTTCAGTGATTCCTGCTCCTTCCAGTCCAGTCTACTCTCACAAGTCTCTATGTTTGGAAGGCCATGAAGTTCCAAGTATTTTGATGTGTTCAGAGCAGCCAACTTGGAGAAGGAAAACTCACTGGCTAAGCTATCAAGGGACAGTTCACCACTAGTTGAGATCTGTTGAGAAAATCTCGGCTCTGCTTCCTGCTGCTGCCCTTGGAGGGTATGCTGGGTGATGCGGCAGACCCAGATCTGCTTCTCCAGCTCCTCTAGCTTGTCTAAGGGCACGGGGTCCTCCTGGGCAAGCCAGTGCCCAGCCAGAATAAGCAGCAGGTGGCGCTCCTCAGTGCTGCCTCTTCCAGCTGAGTGATCACAGGCCATTTGGGCCTGGGAGAAGAAAAAGGAAGAAGCTGCTTTGTTTGAAATGGAATTCTTCTTAAAAGTCTCATGGCATTTTTTCCAGAAGTCAATTCTTGCTCGTTTCAGGGACCACTGTTTCACGTGCTTTAGCGCCTGCATTTCCTGTGTTATCTGTGAAATTTAACAAGCAAATTTTAACTTTTTCAGATAATGAAGTATCGTAAGTGTTAATGCTCAAGTACACCATAACTGCTAAAGTCAAATTAAATTCAAGAACACAGGACCTATGAAGTTCAAGAGGAAGCCACTTTATATTTAATTCTATTCAGAGGAAAATAATTGTAGTATATCCTGCAGGCTACACTTACATTCCTCAATAGTGAACATCCTACAGCTCATCCATTTCTGGAAGTAATGCGGCTGTGAAATGTAAAAAGGAAGTTAGGTGTGGTGGTGCACACCTGTAATCCCAACTACTTGAGAAGCCAAGGCAGGAGGATGGCAAGTTCAAGCCCAGCCTGGGCAGCTTTGGGAGAACTTATCTCCAAATAAAATTTAAAGGGATTGCGGATCACCTAGCATCTGTGGGACCCTGGTTTCAATCCCCAGTATTATAAGAAAAAAAACAGAGAAAGTTAAAAAGCCTCATCTCCTATAAATCATATCTCGCTCAGTTCTGTTTAACATTGCTTTAAAAAACTAAGGCTCTGAATAACTTAAAAAAGTAATAATACCTCTTCAATAACCAAGTTGTCCACAGGTAATTCAGCTAATTCTGCTATTCTCCTGGCCAAAGCAAACTGTCCATCTGTCTGCAGTCTTTCCAAAATAGATCTACATTCATGCTGAAAAATTTCAATGCTGTAGCTGGTAATAACTGTATGATTAATGGGTATAGATGTATCCTTCAAAATTTGGCTAAGGACACACAGCTTCTTTATATCTGGATCTGTGCCAAAGAGAAGAGGATATAAATATTTAACCAATAAAACACTGCTATGGTATTTCACAAGTAATGAAATATGAGGAGAAAAATAACTATGTTTAACATACTAGGGTGATTAAAGGGAAAACGAAAACCACATTTTTCTATTCTGATTGACTAATAGAAGCTATATGGTAGTTCCTATATACCAAAGATGCCAAAACCTTGCCCTGCAAAATCCTTACTAGTAAAGTCTGGTTGAACTTACTTTCCCTACCTTAAGAACTGTTCAAGAGACACAGGGCACAGGTTAGTGGCCTAAAATGTAGTAAGTGGCAAGGAAGGAACTTGCGATGATTTTAGCTACTCCCTCAGGCTAGTCCCACTTCTTTCTGGACTTTTCCTTGACTTGATCAAATTTGCTTGAATGATCAGTCATTTGTGTATTCAATGCAGGCATCTTGTTGACTGAAAGATAATGTAGGACAGCTGAAATTGCAGCTGGTCACTAGCCCAGGCTTTAATGTGGCACACTATATTTAGAATGGGGCATCATTTGCTTGCTACTGACTTAGCACAAGGAAACCCAGTGGGGCTTTCCCTGAAAATTATTATCTTAATAATATTAAGAATTCTCTTCCTGGGGATTTAGCTCAGTGATGGCACACCTGCCTCATAAGCACAAGGTCCTGAGTTCAATCCCTGGTACAAAAGAAAAATAAGAAGTCTCTGCCAGAAAAAGGGGTAAAGATGTAGCTTAGTAGAAGAGCACTTGTCTAGCATGCATGAGGACTTTGGTTCAATGCAAGTATTGCAAAAAAATTAAAGAAACAAAATGTGTTGGAGCCAGGCATGGTGGTACATGCCTGAAATCCCCGCAGGTGAAGCAGGAGGATCGCTATAAGTTCGAGGCCAGCCTGGGCTATACACAGTGAGTTTGAGGCTTGCCTGAAGTACAAAGTAAGACTCCGACTCAAAAGAGTATTCACTGGGGATGTAGATCAGTAGTATGGCACTTGTCTCACATGTGTAATGACCTTACTGAAATCCCTAGTTCTGAAAAAAAAAAAAAAATCTGCTAGAAACTGGGTGCAGTGGTGTACTCCTGTAATCCCAGCACTTGGGAGGCGGAGGCAGGATTGCAAGTTTGAGGCCTGCCTGAGAAACTCAGCAAGATCCTGTCTCAATAATAAAAAGGGCTTGGGATGCAGCTCAATGGCCCCTGGGCTAGTGAAAATGTGAAAATCTACTATAAAGCAGTATCATCATCATTTAAAAATCCTGAAATTATTAAACAAATGTAAAAGAATAAGACAATATTTTTTGATTAAATAAGTATCAAGCTTAGAGACTGCCAACATCTGGAAGACTATGGAAGAAAAAAGCATAACTTATCTCTGAACCTTTCAAAATAAATTACACATTCGTGAAACAGGGTTTGTAACCCTGGCCAACAATAACAGACAGAAGAATGACAGTGACATGTTAATGCAGGGGCTTGCCAGGGGGAAGCAGAGCTATTTGACAACTGCTTGGAATAAGAAGACTGATTGTGTTTTTTACACCAGGTGCTGTTGTATCATGTTTTGAATGTTTCAGCCCAAATGTGAAGTTATCTGTAACTCTTCACACTCGGTTCTAGATTATAAATGTAATATTACCTATCACATGCATTCTCGTTTCCTGATTACTCTTCTAAAATACTTTCAAGATTAAGAAAGCTAACCACCACTTTTTTGTGTATGTGTAGTACTGGGGATTGAACTCAGGGCTTTTACACTGAGCTACATCCCCTGCCCTTACTATTCCATCCCTTTTTTTTTTTTTTGGTACCAGGGACTGAACTTAGGACCTTGCACTTGCAAGGCAGGTGGCAGAACCACGGAGCATTTATCCCCGGCCCTTAATATTCCATTTTGAGACAGGGTTTCACTAAGTCACCCAGGCTGGGCTTGAACTTTCAATCTTCCTGCTTCAGCCTTCCAGAATGCTGGATTTACAATTGTGTACTACCATGCCCAGGTAAAGAGGCTACTTCTTAGTGGCAACTTCAGGGCAAGGACTGTCTTACCATCAGAAAAGAGATGCTCTGTTCCAACAAACAACTGTAAGAGCTTCCCCAGCTCATACTGCGTCTGACACTGCTGTGGCATAAGCTTCAAAAGGAAACACACCTGGTCCCTGAGCCATGCAGCAGGGAGGACAGGGTGGACTCTTGTAGTTGCTGTGTCAAGCTATTAAAAAAAAAAGAAGAGAATAAAAGAGGCTCAAGGAGGAGAGTGATTCACAGGAATAACAAATTAAAATCTCCAAAATGCAGAACAAGCAAGCCAAGATACCCTGAAGAGTAACCTCCCATCACAAAAGGGGACGCCTATGCAGTTGCTTTTCAAACAGCAGGGATGAGTGAAGGAGCTCAGAGAACAGGCAGGAGGAACAAGCCCTCCTTGGCAGCTCTGCATGTGATCTCTGTGGGAAGTTCTAATGCAGAGAGCTGCATGTACAAAGGGCAAGAGTCCTTTGAATGATGCTGTACACTGCCCTCCCTCCATGGGAGACTGAACCTAGAGCCTCATGCATGCTAGGCAAGCATGCTCTACCACTAGGCTGCATCCACAGCCTTAAGAGTCCTAAAGACTGAGTGCTAACTAGAGAGCTCATGCCTGTAAGTTCCTCCTAGTCACTCTGTCTAGTTAACAGCCCTCTCAGGTGCTATATTAACCAGGCATGTTTAAGAGAAACTTAGCAGTTTTTCTTTTTTTTTGTTTTTTTTGAGATAAGGTCTTGCTATGTAGCCCAGGTTGACCTCAAACTCACGCTGATCCTTCTGTCATGGCCTCCTGAGTACATGGGTTACAGATGTGTGCCACAATGCCTAGGGCAGCTTCTTCCAAAAGAGACCTGGGAGGCCAGAGATTTAGCTCAGTGGTGCTGCCACCTGTCTCCCAAGTGCAAGGTCCTGAGTTCAATCCTTGGTACCAAAAAAAAGAGACCTGGGCCTGACCTTGAGTCCAGAGAATTTTAAATTCATATTAGGAAGGCTTCTTAGCCTTGCTTACCACTGCTAGGCTGGTTCTACTACATATTTTGCTGGTACAGTACTTTTACGTTTTTGCTTGAGTTTTCAAGCCAAAAAACCTGGACTTGTCATTTCAATTACACATTAAAACTACTAATAGGAAGATGACTATCCACAAGTGGGTGGCAAACACATCTAAGACACTATGCCTGAGACTCTGAGCTTTCCCGCATGACACTGTTTCCGTCACTACATTGCTGATTTTTATTTGGTATTATTTTTGGAAGACTACTACTTTGTTTTTAGTCACTGTAGTTTCATATTTCATAATTCACTCTAGACATCACACAACATAATTAAAAATACTGGGCCTCATAGCAGAATAAAAGGTTAACTCCTGAGATGGGTGCAGCTGTGCAGACCTGTAATCCCAGGTACTCTGGAGGCTGAGGCAGGAGGACTGCAAGTATCGATCAGGGCAACTTAGTGACTTAGTGAGACCCTGTCTTAAGAAAACAAACAAGCAAAAACACAACACAACAAAATAAAACAAAAACAGGGCTTGATAGTGCATCCCACAGCTGTAATTCTAGCACTTGGAGAGGCTGAGGCAGGAGGATTGGAAGTTCAAATACAGCCTGGGCAACTTGAAACCCTGTCTCAAAATAAAAGGAAATTTACACAGGGCTAGGGATGTTGCTCAGTACAGAAGCCCTGGGATCAATCCTCAGTACTGCCAAAGGAAAAAACAAGGTCACTCTGAAGGTACAATAATATACACTGAGGTTTTGGGCTGTAACATAGATGTTTAAGACTGCAATATGTCTTCAAAAGAATCCCCAACACTGCCAAGCTCTTCAGTTAAGGAATGCCTTATAAAATCCCATGACACATTAGAGCTGTCTCCTCACTACTACCTGGAATTTTCTTCACTATTCTCCTAGATTCTGTATGGTCCCACCTATCTGTTTCTCATTCTCTTCTCCTAAATTTTAGTATGGGTTAGCTGCCTTTTTACTTTTTACTTTTGGAGCAGGGTCTTTTGTACTGTTCAAGCTGGTTCTGAACTTCTGGGCTCAAGTATCCTCCTCCTTCAGGCTCCCAAGTAGCTGGAGCACAGGCATCTGCCACCATGCTGGCTCACTCACTATCATTACAGGAAGATTATTTTGATTTGGAGCTGCTCCCTTACTGCTATTTAAGGGGATGACAATGAGAATGATAGAACATCAGGAGTCGGCTCCCTGTTAGCTCCTGCTCCTGCTTAGATACTGTGGTGGGATGTATGCTATACAGTAAGTCCCTGACTTAACAAAAATTCATCTTGTGAACTTTCACAGGTGTACTGTGTAAGACTCACTTTGTTTGCTTACAAATGAATTTGACTTATGAACCATTCTCCTGGAATGGAATTCGTTCATAAGTTAGAGACTTACTGCACAAAAGTCAAAAGTTACAGAATACATCTATTCTTTATCCTCATGAATGTCCTCCTTAAAATCAGCCTGGATTAAGGCATTAGTCTTTATTACTTTTTTTTTTTTTTGATACTGGGAATGAACTCGTGTCCTTGTGCTTGCAAGGCAGGCGGTGGAACCACTGAGCTAAATCCCTGGCCCCTTTATTACTTTTTTTTACCTAACTTTGCTACCCTAATAAGAGGGTCTATACAGGCAAATGAAGGAAGTGGGAGGTAGAAAGCTGAGGTGACAGCTGCAGTGTCTCCACACAGACTGGGAGTGGCAGGCCGGCAGGAACAAGGAGACCCTGGCAGGACCTCAGCCTCAGAGCTGAGGAAATTAACACGTCTATTTTTGGGGGTGATTTAGGAACCCCAGTCTTACCAAAACACTGATTCAGTATTTTCAAATATATAGCCCTTTTATGTTAATTGGAGTTAAGACCACTGTGACTGAGAACAAAAGCCTAGAGGGATATTCCACTTGATATAGGTGGTAGGTAAAGTAGGTATTTATGTGTGTCTCATTTATCATAGAGCTCTTGGGGAGTACAGAAGGCAAAAGTGCTGAAAACACCAAGGAAGACTAAGGCATATCCTTTTTCCTTTCTTACAGCTTCTGCTTTTTTCCTCCATAATAATAAGGTTGCTGGGTGTGGTGGCACATGCCTGTAATCCTAGCACTTGAGAGGTTGAGGCAGAAAGATTGCTGTGCGTTCAAGGCCTGCCTAAGCTACACAGTGAGTTCAAGGCCAGCCTGGACTACATAGTGAGACCCTGTTTTAAAAAAAAGTTAATAATCTTGGCATGATAACTAGGTCTGAAACAAGCGTCTGAAGAAGTAGAGCCTGAGACTGACCACATGTTCAACACTGTTTGGACAAGGTCAGCAGAGCCTCCAGGAGTACCGATGAAAAAGACCATTCTTTTCTATCATAGTGAATAAAGCTGGAGGTATCCTGGATTGACCAAATATGGCTCATGACCTCCACTCTGCTCTGGTGTCCAGAGGGTCTACTAATCCTTTCCCATTGAGCTAGGCTGCAGAATCAGAAAAGTGATTGTAGTAGAGGATTACATGAATCCTTTCTGTTCATGGCAATGGATGAGCGGCTACAAGTGAGACCCCTGAGGCCCCTGCCCTCACTTCCTCATCTCTGGAATGGTACAAATGATTTAGTCTGAATTTCACCACATAGCCCCTATTCACCAGATACTCCATTCCAACCATTACCAGGCAACAGGCCATGCCAACCGATTTTAGATCAGTGAGAAAGAGCACTCAGGGCTGGGGATTTAGCTCAGTGGTGCTGCTGTCTGCCTTGCAAACACAAGGTCCTGAGTTGGATCCCCGGTACCTAAAAAAAAAAAAAAAAAAAACAAAAACTCAAACTTCTACAAACTTTTTTGAGGCTTTTCAGGAACTCCAGAAGTTTAGCTTTGGCTTCCTTATAATTCTTGAAGAACATACACAGTTCATATACCTCCATCATCAGCAGTAACGGGGACTCCTTCAAAGAAGAGCTGGAAATTAGAAAATCCTGGCCTTGCTATTTTCTTGATCCATAATGCCAAATAAAGAGAATGTTAGATGTTGCTAAAAACAGCCTCACAGTAAAGTCATACATCTTAAAAAGAAGAATAGTTAAATTTGTATTTTTTTTTTGAAAAAAAAAATACTCAGGATAGGCACAGCTATTCACCTCAGATGGCAGGAGTTATCCACTAGATGGGCAGTACAGTGCCCCTAACACACATTCTTGGATGCTGGGCTCCCAGGACCACCCCCCTGAACCCACAGAATCCACTGCTTTCAAGTGGAGTTTTGGATTAGAAAGTATGAATCTGAATTGTAAATATATACAAAGTACATATTACTACATAGTACAAAGTACTGAAGTACTCTGAGTTCTTGGGTAGGCTAATTAAGTGCTATGAGCATTACTTTATTAGTGTGTAAAATGAAGATAATACCACTTCATAAAATCCTCCGGTATTATCTTGTACAGAATTGTGAAAACTTATTAAAATAATGTATTTTAACACTACTACATAAATAGCAGAGCTGGGGGTGTAGCTCAGTGGCAGAGTGCTTGCTTAGCATGTGCAAGGCCCTGGGTCCAATCCCTAGCACTGTAAAACAAACAAACATTTTATCACTATTATCATCTATTGTTGGCTTAAAAAAATCTAGGGATGAGAATATGGAAAGTCAAACATGAACATGCTGAAATAACACCTGTGAACTCTGGAAAGAAATGCAGTAAATTATTCACTACCTTAAAGAAAAGCTGGAAGCCTCTGATAAGAGTTCTGCTCTTCTGCCTTGTTAATAATGTTCTCCAGACTATGGAAAGGTCCTCAAGGTCCCAGGTATAGTTTTCTGTCAAGCCCCGATTATGTCCCCTTACTTCAGTAGCAATACTTTCCTCCACAGAGGTTATGATCCAAACACAGAGACAGGGAACAGCGCTGGCATCCTGACATTGGATAAGAAATTTTCAAAATAAAATAACGACCTGGGTTACCTAACAGATATAACAAATGCTACAGATGGGTATTTCTTATTTAGAGAAAGTCATCTCAATTAGTTAAAACGGCTTAAAAGCTTCCAAACATGACACAAAATCTAATGAACAATAGAGGGACTATTACAAACAGTCCTGCAGAGTGTGGCAGGTCAAAGGCCAAGAAGACAGAGGGGTTCTAAGTGAATAGGACTGCTCTCCATGGAGCTGCAACTGAGGGACTGTGTGGAACTCCCTTCCCCACTGAAGAAGCAGTGACGTGCATCCACCAAAGCGTCCTCCGTATCACCGTCAACCAGGAGCCACGGCTCTAACCACTTAGGCTCACGGAATGTCAACACATGAGGAACAGTACCGAACGACCCAGCCCCAGGGTCTAAAACCCAGAAGACAAAGTGCTTCAGTGACCTTGAAACATACTGGAACTTCACTGTGGCCATTATTAGCCTTTCCTGTTCCTATTTTTTTCTATTGCGCCCTAGGTCTCTAATTTAGGCTTCTCCTGCCCCTCACCTGGAGACATGAAGCCAGGACACTGAGGACAGGGGCTTTGTGTCTCACTGCTTCAGCCAGGAGCCAACGCCAGGAGTCTGGTTTCGCTGCGCACAGGAGCAGAACTTCAAAGAAATTAGTCTTCTCTTCTCTGTTTCTCTGAAGTTTCTGAGGGGACCTGGTACTGACTTGATCACTGTCCACTCTAGAGTTGGACACTGAGGACAAGTTTTCAAAAGCCAGCTGTAAGTGATCTTGAAGGACTGGGCTGAAACACTGAAGGAGGGGTTTCACCTACAAATCATATTAGATGATGAAAACAGACGCCCAACTGTTGGTTACACCTGGAGCTGAATGTTACAGAAACACAGGCAAAATTACTCTTCCCACCCTGAACCGTGTCAGAAGTGACCACATAATTTCACAAAGTTGTTGCTTTTGAGTGAATTTCTATATTCAATCTGGAGTCACAAAAACTTTTCAAGCTTTTCAGTATTAATGACTAGTCAGACTATTAATGTCTGACCCCAACCCATTGAACTGTGAGTAAAAATAAGTGTCGTGTTAAACAAAAGGCTAAGAAGGACAGATCTGGTCATTTATAGAACATGAATGCACCTTGAGTCCAGAATGCTAAGGGAAATAATCAGACTCAGAAGGTTAAATATCACATGGTTTCACTTATATGAGAAGCCCAAAGTATAAGTCATTTATAGAGCAAAATAAAAGACAGATGATAGAAAACAGAAAGATCAACTTTGTGAGAATGGAAAGAGTCTGGGGATAGAGGGAGATGAGGAGAGAGTAAACGGGAAACAGAATTACAAAGGCTCAAGAGTAGCTGGCATGGTGGCACATGCCTGTAATCCCAGTATTTGGCAGGCTGAGGCAGGAGGATCACTGTGACTTTGAGGCCAGCTGAACTACACAGAAAGACTCTATCTCAAAAAAAAACCAAAACAAAAAGAGGACCAAGATTCAATATGTATATGTACCAATTCCCCACAATAAGTACATATTATATATTGCAAACATATACTAATAAATTTTTTTTTAAAAATCTTGTTTATGCGATAGAAAAAACACTGTCTTCAGAGAAGTGTTCAGATGTCCTCTTGAGTAGCTGCCAGCAATATGGCTTACCTCCTCTGGTTGGAAGTCATGGAGCTGGCTATGAATAAGGAACTGCAGCCAGTCATTTGCTTTGGCACATTCTCTAAGGTAGGATGTGCTCAGTTTCGTATGGTGGAGCCTGCCAAACTGTACCACTAATGCCCACTGGCTCTCAGATTCACTGGATAACCTAGAGTTAGAATTAGGGATGGGATGGTAGAGAAAAAAACTTATGAAAATACAGCTTTAGTTTGAAACTGGAAAATTAGTAAAAATTAAATAAATTTAACCACAGTATAGTCTCTAAAAAGCCTTTTAACAGGGGCCAGGAATGTAGTTCAGTGGTAGAGCACATCCAAGGGCCTCATTTAGATCCTCAACACTGTGAAAGCAAAAAAAGCCTTTCAAAAATATTTATTAGACTGCTCTGAAAATGGACTCTTGTTCATAAGGTGGAATAGCTTTAACATATTGGCACAATTCATTCTTCCCCTAAATCATCAATCAAGTATTGATTCTAATTGTTATGGATTATCTGTAGAAAAACAGAAAACAGGCACTCAAGAAATTTTCTGGTTGTTTAATTCTCTTATGGTTCACTTCAGAAGACTCAGCCCTGGCAAGCGCCTGGGCCTCCTCACTCGGGAGAGGGCACATGTTCCTCTCCAAGTATGACACTGCTGAGAGCTGAGTCAGCTAGAACGGCAACAGTGTGCTCCCAGGGCTGCCTCAGGGAGAGAACACAAGAAAAAAATGGCAAGAATGTATTTTTGCTGACAGATGCTCACTTTGGCTTCCAGTGTCAGTTGACATATGATAGGAAAAAACATTAAGAACAATATTTAAAATCAAATTTTGTGAGACTTGCCCCCACATCTCCTGAAATTATTTCAACATGTAATACTTAAAACACTTTTCTAACCTAAGTCTCCATCTCTTGGTAAGACCATTTCTAAAAAGGGAACCATGGCCAGAGGTTTTCAGTGGCGCCTGCACCTGTCTGGCAAGTGCAAGGTCCTGAGTTCGATCCCCAGTTCCGCCAAAAAAAAAAAAAGGGGAACCACTATTGGCAAGGCACAATTAAAATAATGTTCCATTTATTCAGTGTCTGCTATATGCTGGGTAAGTAAGATCAGGTCTAGGTGGATTTTGGTGAAAACACCAGAGGTACTAGAAGAAAAGAGGGGGCTGAGGATTTAGCTCAATGGTTCCACCGCCTGCCTTGCAAGTACAAGGATCAGAGTTTGAACCCCGGCACCAAAAAAAAAAAAAGACTAGGCCAACACAGGTTAGTAAAAGAAACTTACTAAAAAAGAGGCTGAAATTGCAACTCACAAACCTCTTTATTTCCTGGTGCTGAATGCTATGCCATGTACCTTCTTCTAAGAGAACAAGCAATTCTTCTGTAGTTGCCTTTTCATCATCTGCCAGTTTAGACAATTTCTCAGCTATAAGAAATAGGAACAAAAAGTATGAGCTGAGCAAGGTGGCGTGGGCCAAGGCAGGATAATCACTAGAGCCCAGCAGTTTGAGACTAGCCTGAGCAAGCTCAAGACCCTGCCTCAAACACACCCACATGCACATATTTATGGCCAAGAGAAAAAGTCAGGACCTAGGCATTTCTGTTTGAAAGATATGGTCCAGGGATATTTCAAGACCCAATTAAAGTGCCCAAGAAAGTGAGGTAAAGAATATATACATGGTCGCTGGGAATGCGGCTCAGTGGTAGACACTTGCCCAGCACTCACAAAGCCCCACATCCAATTCCCAACAATGTAAAAAACAAAAACAAAAAACAGGAAGATAACTGTTCCTTCTAAATGCTCACAATTCAATGCTTTAGATCTATTTAGCACTTCTCCCCTAAAAAAAAAAAAAAAAAAAAAAGCCAAATAAAGAACAGGTGGTATACCTAAAGTCTCTTGGATAAAGCTGTACTGAGTATCTCCATTTCTACACTTGTAACTCAAAATTATATTGGCCACTTTCATATCAACTCTGAGCTTGAGGCTGTCAAGGCCAAGCAATTCTAGGAAACATACACAGGCAGCTCCTATGGAAGGTATGTGGAAAGAAGAGAGCCCTAAGATACAGGCTTCCTTCCCTGCTTGCTGGATCCTGAAAAAGAAAAGAATCAAAATCACATCAGCACATAAAACCTTTCTCACCACCAAAAGCAAATGGAATTACATCAGTGATACATGGAGTGCTGGACAAGTGATTTTCCACACACCCCTTTCCTTTTGGACACATCCATTTTGGCTCTAGGTAGCTTTTTAGTTGTTTTCAGGCTCCAAAGACTCCATTCCTTCAGATTTACCTTCTTCCAAAGTACCTACTCATAGTCTACACTATTTTTACTTCTGACTTCATCCAGGAGGCATGGGGTAGAACTTCAAAAAGCAAGTTGCCTTATCAATTCTGAGTATGTATATAAATTACCAAGAAGATTAATACCACTTAAGTTTGACACCTTGAAGCACAAAGTTTACACTTTTATGTGTGAACAAATTTCTAGAAAGATGCATAAGATGTCTTCGACCAGATTTATTATGTAGAATGGAAATAAAGACTTGGGAGACTTTCGTCTTCTCACTTCTCTAAACTATTTAATCATAAAAATGTATTACCTTGATAATTATAAAATAGCACGAATGAAAAATAGTACCAATTTAGGTTTTAAGTACTCACAGCTTCTTGGGAGTCTTGCTTTTGGTTAATTCCTGGACCAGAAAAGTACCAAATGCAAATGACGGGCGTCCATGATGTAAATAATAAGCAAAATTCAGACGTTCCACTACAGCGTATTTATTTACCAGGCAAGGACTAGAGAAATGTGGGAGATGACTCAGTGCATCTAGGGGAGAAAGTAAAGTGATATTAATTTTCTGTACCTCATGATAGTTAATTTCAGATTTGCATATAGAAAGCTTAACTCTCCAATAGAAAAAGATCTGTTGGTTTCTACAATCATTTTGTACCATAGTACACCTTCTATCTCTTGGTACCTATCAAAATATAGTTTTATTTTACTTAAAAGTACAGATAGCCTTCATTTTATACAAAGATGTGTATCTTTGTACTCTTGCCTATATTGAACCTACTTGAATTTTATTTATTTTTGTTTTTCTAAGACAGGGTCTCACTGTGTAGTCCAGGCTGGGCATTAACTGCAATCTTTCTGCCTCAGCCTCCTGAGTGCTTGGATTACAGGTATTTGCCACTACATCCAGCTTACTACCTGTGATTTTAGCTACCTTTTTCTCCCTTCTTTTTCCTCCTAGAGACTCTCTTAGGATCCACAATTAGCACTGCAATGGTATCTGTTTCTAACCCACTAAGTGCTTTGGATGGATCTCCTCTCCTCTCTGGACTTCTGTTCATAGTAAAATGAGCACACTGGGCTATATGACCTCTGAGAGCCATGCCACCTAAAGTGCTCCATGTTTTTTGTTAAAGGACTCTTTATCCCATGAAAAGTGTAGTTGCAGAATTATAGCTGCAGCTAAGGCCTAGTAGGGCCTGGCATCCAGTGGAATAAAGGCCAATAACTTCTAGGGTCCACAGGGATTTCTGGACTTACTGGCTACACAGTCATATCTATGGTTACTGATGCTAAGACGTGACTGAGGGGAAAGATTACACTGTCTGGAATATTCCTAAACCAATTGAGTAAATTGGAAACAGGAAAAAGCATACCCAGAAGTGACTCCTCAGAGGGCAATTATGATACTGTTTCCAGGGGCAGGAAGAAGCTCTAGTTTGCCAGGTCTAGTAACTCGGTATTATTAGGGCTTTGAGTCATAAAAAAATATGCTTGATTCCTGATCTTGACAACAAGTTGAGTGACCTTGAACAATTTATTTAGCTTTCTAATTGTACATGTTTAAAGAATACAACGTTTTAATATGCTTGTTTTGATTTAATGATAACTACAGTCAAGCAAATCCAACATTCCATATACTTTTCTTTTTCTGTGTGAGAGTATCTAAAAATTTATTCTCTTAGCAAATTACCACTATACATAATTATCATGTTGTACATTATATTGTACCTCTGAACTTCTTCATCCTATATACAACTTTGTACTCTTTATGTCTTCTTGTTCCCCACTCCCAATAACCACCATTCTACTCTGTTATTATGTACAGTGGACCTGCAAGTTATGACCGACCTGACATACGAACAATTGGGGTTAATTAGATTAATGGAAGATTCATCTGCCTCTTGTTATCTATAGCATGTACCCAGGTAAACATCCAGATCTCAGCTGTACTGACTTACACCTAACCAGCCCTTATGAACCAATCAAGTTCGTTTAAGTCAAGGGTCCACTGTATTTGATTGGGGGTGGGGGGGAGGGAACAGTACTAGATATGGAACCCAGAGCCTTTACATTAAGCTACATCACTAGCTGTTTTTCTGAGCCAGGAGCCCACCAAGTCTAAGTTGCCCAGACTGGAATCAAACTTGCAAACCTCCTGCTGTAGCTTCCCAAAATGCTGAGACTGTAGACATGTGTCACTATGCCTGGCTGCTTCTCCACCTCCCCTGTAGATACCGCATGTAATATATCATGCAATATTTGTCTTTCTGCATCTGGCTTATTTCACTTAGCAGAATGCCCTCTAGTTTTACCCATGTTGTTGCAAATGGCAGAGTATCTTTTTTTTTTTTTTTTTGGTACTGGGGATTGAATTCGGGACCTTGTGCCTGCAAGGCAGGCACCAGAACCACTGAGCTAAATCCCCAGCCCGCAGAATCTCTTTTTAATGTTCGACAACATTCTATTGTGTATGTACGTGGAAATATTCATATACTGTAATCTCTATCCATTCATCTGCCAATGGACACTCCATTTGTTCCTATAGCTTCACTATTGCGAATAATGCTTCAATAAATATGGAAGTCCAGATGTCTTTATGTGGTGGTCATTTTATTTCCTTTGGGCACATACCCTAAAGAAAGATGGCCAGGTCACATGGTAGTTCCGTTTTTAATTTCTTTAGGAATCTCCACACGGTTTCCCACAGTGGCTGACACCAATCTCCATTCTCTAGATTGGACAAGGACTCCCTTTTCTCCACACCCTTGCCAACACTTACAATCTTGCTTTTGTTATAAAAGCTATCCTAACCGGTGTGAAATGCTGTTTTCACTGAGGTTTTGATTTGTAATTCTCTGGTGATTAGTGATACAGAAGATTTTTTTCATATACTTTTTGGCCACTTTGATGTCTTCTGTAGAGAAAGGTCTATTCAAGACCTTTGCTCATTTTTAAATTGAGTTATTGTTTTGCTACTGAGTTACGTGAGTTCCTTATATATTTTAGATATTGATCTCTAATCAGACCTGGGGTTTGCAACTATTTTCTGCCAGTCTGCAGGATACTTTTCATTTTACAAGTTGTTTCTTTAGCTGCACAGAAACTTTCTTGTTTGATATAGATCCACTTTTTTTGCTCTTGTTGCCTGAGCTTTTGGTGTCCCATTCAAAAAAATAATTGCCAAGACTAATGTCAAGACACTTTCCCTGTATGTTTTCTTCCAGGAGTTTCACAGTTTTAGGTCTTACATTTAAGTCTTTTTAAAAAATAGTAAAAATTTTATTCTTTTCATTTCTTTTTATATCAAATAAGTCAGGTATAACAAAATATTTCAAGTTATACATAGCATTTCTAAATATTCAGTAAATAAACAAAACAAACCTGAGTTTTAAATTCCTGAAATGTTGTTCACCAAATATAAGGTGGGAGCTCATATCATTACCTGAAGCATTAAGAAATCTGTACTATAACTATATAAATAAATACATGTATACCATGACCCAATTTGTAATAAAAGGCCAAATTAAAACAAACATATTTCCTCTTTGTGTAAATAATCTACAATTCCCAGAATTCTTAACTCCATTTTCTACAATTTGATTAGAATATCTCTTTATGTATCAGCTTTCCATTAGTTTCTCATTTAGCAATTACTTTCTATATTTACTTCATTTCCACAGAAATCTCCCCTTCTTGCCATCAACACAAATGAAAACAGAAGTATAATTTGTTATTTTTATGATTAATAGATCATTTCCCCACCATTAATAAACTTCATTCTTTAATTACAGATCAGCCTGAAATCTAACAATACATACCTTTCTCATCCTGTCAACATATACAGATACACAAAACAACTATTTATGGTAGCACAAGAAAAGATTATGATAGCCCTCAAAATTCAAGGAAAAGACTTTAGGAAAAGTGCTTAAATTCTGTCCACTGTTATTTATAACTTTTGCTATAGTATCTGGGGAATGCCATTGTTTCTGAAGAGATGACTGCAGATTTACACAACTGAATACATTGGTATCTATACAGAATCAGGTTCTGATTATCTGCACAAATAAAGAGACAAGACAGACAACGAAAACACATAATTCCCAAGCTTCTACAGATACAATGTTTTCATCTGTAACTCGTGGGACTATGTCTGAGAATTCAGAAAACAAAATTAAAATACACTGCAAAGAGAATAAGCATGATGAACTTAATTACCAAAACAATGATTAAATTAAAATGTCATTATCGACTTGAGTTTGTGAGCTTTCATTTCTGATAGTGGCTCTAAGTTTACGTTATACCAGTCTATCAGGTAGAATCATATCATATTAATAATCCAACAAACTCCTAGATAATTCAACAAATTTTCAGTCTACTAGAGAGCAGATGCATGATTTGTTTTTCTGGAATTAGCTCTATTTCCTCTTTTTTTTTTTTTGTACTGAGGATTGAACTCGGGTCCTTGCGCTGGCGAGGCAGGCGGTAGAACCACTGAGCTAAATCCCCGGCCTATTTCCTCTTTATTTTCACTAGATTCATCTGTCTGGCCTTGTGCTCTTCTGATGATTTCACTGTCAGTTAATAATTCACAACCTAGTTCAGTACTGTTCACTTCAAGCTATTTTTCAATGTTGCCAGTAGTCATATTTTCTAATCCTTTGATATGTTGTAAAACGGTGGCCACAGGTGCCACAGAAATATCTTCATCATCAAAGTCCATGCATTCCTTCTCCTCTATGGCAGGAAGAATTTGCTTCCAAGCCCTGCTAACAGTAACTGGTTTTACTAAGTTCCATGCCATTTCATAAAGTGCATCCAGCAGAGTTAGCTTTTTCCAGAATTATTTTTTTTCTTCTGGTACCAAGGATTGAACTCAGGACCTTATGCTTGCCAGGCAGGTGCAGTGCCACTGAGCTATATCCCTGGCTCTTTAGGACGATTTTAAGTCATTACCTTCTTCCATGTTTATCAGGAGAAGACCTACATGGTAGTTTCTCTTCACTGTTGCTATGACTCCCTGATCCAAGGGCTGAATCAATGAAGCCACATTAGGTGGCAAATATTTGATCATCATCTGAATGCAGGACATTTTCATTTGGATGTGTTGGTGAATTTTCCAACAAAATTACACCTTTTTCTTGCAAATCTTTGGATCTTAATCTGTGGCACAAAGATCTTATTGAACTGTTGTCTGAAAGATACATCCACACACCTTTTTGGCTGCCATAAGAGACTAGGCAGCTTTAAAGTGTCAGCTGACTTGAAGGAGTCATGTTTCTTGGCTTTGCCCACAACATAAAGTTCAAGCTTTTTCGAACCTGCTGCATTGGCACAACACATGATAGTAATTCTTTCTTCAACTGACTTATGCCCAGGAACAGTAGTACATTTACCTTGGATTACTGAAGTCCTAGAAGGCAGATACTTCCAAAACAGTCCAGTTTCTCTGCATTATAGATCTGTTCAGGCTCCAAGTTCTCTTGTTCAATTAAACCTCAAAAGTTGTTACAAAAATCTTCTGCAGCAGA